GTGGGTGTGTGTGGGTGTGGGTGTGTTTTTATATCTGTTTATGCACATATTCTGTGTATATGTCTTCGTGCTCTGTACGTTATTTTGTTTCAATTCCCAATCCAGCATGTTTATGTATGTGTAGATAGTGTAGATCACTCAAAATATGAGTGCAGACGTGGTCCGCCGGTCGGTTCTGGGCAAGGATGGCAGCTGCAAGTGCGCCCGCGGTCGTGGCTGTGAGAAAAAGGTTCGATGCTGATCATGTAATGGTGGAACAGGCGAGCTGTATGTTGTTCTCGAAGTAAGTGCATGCGACACCAGGCACCGGGACACCGCTTGTAGGTTGCAGAGGTCTAGTCACCAAACGTTCAGGTGGAAACGATTGATCACAAACCCAGCCTCTGGGTGGAGCGAGTACGGAGCCCAGTTGAGGTCTTGAAGCTCGCTCGACACAGATCCGCCTGAAACGTTATATAGCTCCAGGTCCACTGCACAACGCTAGATCCTAAGACCTAGCAATCCTTTAAGCCCATAAAGATCACTAACTCTGCACTCTCGTGACTCTCGTGGTCAACCTGGTATCGGTACCAGCCGGTCGGGCACTCTGCTCCGTCCATCTCCGAGTGGCACACTGCCAGAGCGATGCTGAGCTGCGGAGCTTGTGAGCTTGCCTGCTATGTAGCTGTTATCCACTAGCTGAATCTGCCGCATGTTTGCCTCCCGGTCCATGTAATCCATAAATAGTACAGAAACACGTATACGCACGTTCACGTGCCGTGCGCCTGTCTATGCATGCAAGCACATCTAAACACTAGTGTGAGCACTCTCTCGGAATAATCTGTGCACTAACACTGTCCAGAATACAGCTGCTTAGACAAAAGGCAGCGACATGCTTGAAGAGCCTGTGATCATCGGATTGCTGCACTCAAGCATCATTCTGGCCATGGATACCTGTACTTCGCCATGCCAGGCGAGAATTGTTGCTGCCGGAGGCAAAGTATGCGGGGGGCGCAGAGGCCTTGGTTTAACTGTACAGCTGCGATGCTATGCCCACATCGCATTCTCTGTCAAATAAAACATCCCAGCTGTCCCTCGAATAAGTTAGGCGTAGGTCTAGCCGAAATGACTTTACGGACAACAGTTACGGCCGGAACCGGCCACAAAGCAGCTGGCCTGTGTAGCGTAGCCTTGAATTTCTTCTGGAGTGCATCTGAGGCCGAGCACGGCTGGACGGAAACCTCGCCGTCAGTGCGGCTCTTGGATATTTCGTGCAGCGGTTCAGCTCTGTGTGCACACTGTCCGCTCGAAACCCTGTACGTGGGGCTCCAAAGCACTTGCTTGGCACTTTTTTCAGAAGAGGCATCCAAGGTTATGAATATATGCTTTCATGTTTGAACAACAAGTAACTCAAGAATTTGAACATTACTGCCGCTCGGCATTATTTGGGTTGTTGTTGGTACTGACGGCCGTGTCTGTGTCCTTCCCAAACCCCAAAGTATGCTTTTTCGTATCAAAGGAATGACCTATCACAGCAACATACAGACGGCATACTATTCATTATTCATCCATACAAAGCTCGCACCACATCTTAGGGGCCCCGAAAGTTTGCTTGCCCCCCCCCCCCCCATTCCCAGTCCGGCGACCCAAACCCTGGGCCCGGTTCGCAAGAAGCGACCCAGGCCGAAGTCTCGGGGATTTCGATTTCAAGGACAACGCCGGCCGCCGTCTCCCCGGAAATCTTGTGAGCCGTGGTCAAACGGGCTGATGCTTGTGTCGAGTGTGCGTACGTATGCATGTATGTATGTGTATATGTCTGTATGTATGTATATATATATGTATATGTATATGTATATGTATATGTATATGTATATGTATATGTATATGTATATGTATATGTATATGTATATATATATATATGTATATACATACCCACACACGCACACACACACACACTTACGCTTACACATGCAGCTACTTGCACATACAAAACTTACATATCATATCATATACATATATATATATAAATCTGTGATATGCATATATACATACAAGCATGCATATATTTACAACCATACATATATGTACACATATGCATATATTTACATATATGCACACAGCATGTTGTCATCACTATTTGCATGCTGCCTGGGATGTGGGCTTGGAGCTTGCAAGCCCGGGGCTCCACGGATGTTCCTGCAGAGCATGAGCTCGGGCAACAGAGTCTGTTATAGGGACTCTAGAACTCCGGTTTGGGGTTTGATTGGATCTAGAAACTTGTTGCAGACTTCGAGTTTCCTCTGTGGCCAGGGCAGTTCACAGAAAGCCGCTACGGCGCGCTTTTTGTCTTGTAAGAGCCGTTTGCTCCAACAAACTCCCGTCAACCCTAAACCCAGCCAGGCCTTGGGTTGCTCGAGAGCCTGACCTGCTTTTCTTCGCAAGGTCCTGCGGCCGAACAGAAGGTGTCGTGCTTGCCAGGGGCCCAGAGGATGTGTTTCATCGGATCCGAGGGGGAGAAGCCTGTGAAACCTTGGCCTATTTCGAGGATTTGAAGAAGCAGCTGGTCAGGTGCTACGCTGCATTATACTACATTATACTATACTATATACTATACTATACTATACTATACTATACTATACTATACTATACTATACTATACTATCTCGCGACGACTGTTGCCAGGGCGGACCTGACATTCACAAGCCAAGGCCTGACATCTACGAGGTTTCTGGCTTGCCGGAAAGGACGCTGCTGCTGTTGGCCGCGGACACAGTCATGCACCTGTAACTTGCTGAGATCCCGAAAGTGGCGGAAGGCAAACTTCCTGCAAGCAGCGGCCGTGCACTGTCGGTTGGTGGGCAAAGCTGGAATCGTTTCAGATGTTTCCCGGATGTAAGGGGAGAGTTTGAGAGCTGCCGAGGCCTGCGATGGCCTTTGGGATGCGATCTCCAGCGAGGAAGCAGCACAATTCGTTCGCGCCCGGGTGCCCAGCAGATTCTTCCCTGTCGAGTTGTCCAGCATTTTTGAGGGATCCAATGGAGCCAGCTCAGTAACTCTCCAAATTGGCCTTTGCATGCTTCGACCTGCTGAAGGAGCGGCTTCGTTACGATCCGCCCATGGAGCTCGACGAGATCGCATCTTGCCGTGTGTTCATTCTCCTCTTAGTGCACTCAAGCTAAAGTAAGTCCTGAATCCAGAGAAGTCGGTCCACATCCCTGCAACTTTTATGAGTGCAATTTAATGTTTACGAAAACTCAGGCACAGGAGCTCGTCAGCTACAGTTTGGAGGGAAAGCCCGGGCTCCCAGCTGAGGGAGTTTCGGCTCAGTGGGCTCAGTATGGCTCAGTCGGAAGTTCCGAGCGCTTGCTAGTGCGATTCTGCCAGAACGACCCAGCGTCGAAGTCATTCGAATCTTCGTGCCAGATGCTGGGCATCTACGACGCCTGAAGCTATCTAAGGGAACTATCACCCTGGGTATACCCTAGTGCCTGCAGCCAGACAGGACTGGTGACAACGTGACAGTGCGCCCGGAGACACTTTATCACGAGCTGCCTAAGACAACAGCTGCGGTCAGTGTGGGGAGTTCAGCACAGCTTGAAGCTGCACTGGCCCTCCGCTCAGCAGCTTGCTGCGTGATTCTGTTGGAATGTCGTTGACTGTCGGAGTCGTCTGCACTGCATGGATGCGCTCATGTTGAACATGGGAGCTTGGAGCCGATTCAGGTACTGTTGGTGCAGCTTGGCAGTCCGATCGCCGAGGATTCTTGGTCCGAGAATTCGGCGGCATAGGCCACGACCCTTGAACCGTTACCCTCAAGACCTTTTGCCGGGATCGAGACATCGAGACATGGCTGACGGCATTTGCATAAGAAGCTCGGTTGATTCCACACTGTCCGGCATCTCTGCGGATTAAACTGATCTGCCCTGTTAAGTGCAGAGCTCCTGGTCCCAGACGGTCCTTTGGAGTTGCTTGTATAGGTGGCCAAGCAGGCAGCATCTGCCATCCTTCCAGTCGAACTTGCCCTCAGCCCTGGAAGATGTAGCTGCGCCCGCTTCTGCTCACCTCCTGCAGTCGTGCAGTGACCTGCACTTGAATAGCTCTATCGTGCTGCCGCCAGGCTTTTCACCTTTTTGCGTCGCGGCGCAGGGCAGCTGAGATTCTTGTGCTTGGAGTTCGCAGGGCATGCCGGCAACTTGGCTCTTCATTCCTCTACACACGTTGCCTCGACCCTACCTTGGCTCGAAATCCGAAACCTTTACCACCAATCCTGAATCGTAGATTCGTTCATCTTCTTCACGATAACGATCCCTGGAAGGGTCCTCCTCTAGTACAGCAAGGCAGCGCACGAACCATCATGATGATGAGTTATGATGATGATGATGATGATGGAGATGATGGTGATGGTGGTGGTGGTGGTGGCGATGATGAATAATGGTCTTCGCGATCGTGATCATTGTCATATTATGTGTCTTGGCCATCGCCAACGTCATCGCAGTCGTCGGCATCATCAAGATGACCATCATTATCGTGGTTATCATCACCATGTCGCACCTTTCGCACAATCCCGGGGACATGCCTAGCCTGGAAGCCGTGTCGTGGTTTCCGAGCCGCGAAGGATTCCACGAAGCTCTAGCAAGCTGTGCTCACAGAAGTGTTTTTTGGCGAGAAATCATCAAGTTTGTATGCCCGGGCCGCCCAGGCATGTCCGTGCTGGTGTGACACCGCTGTTCTGAGCGTGACTTTGCGAGTAGTGACTGTACCACAGGAGCTGTGCGACCCAGTCTTCTCGAATGGTTTTGACAGTTTTCTATTCAGGTCGGTGTATGAGCAGGATATGTCTATTGCTCCAGATTCATTCCGGGGACCTGTCTTCGCATTCGCTTGTGGTTGCTGTTCTTCCGGTTTTCTTCCTCATATCTGCTTTCCCTGACCAAGGAACCGCATTCGGCTGACGTACACATCACATGCACTTTAGATGGATCCAGCCCTCCGTTGATCTGTGGGTTTAGTAGCACCTCAACTTTTGCAGTCATGCGAGTTCGGTGCGTGCCTCGTCGGCAGCTCCCAATGTCAATCTCAGCATGCCCTGTGCCCTGCACTGTTAGAGCGACCGTGTCTGAGAAAAGCGGCTGTACCTGGCACTTGCCATTTCAAGAGCATGATCATTTTACTTCCACTCCTTTGACACAGTCCAAAGGGTATTGCCTGGCCCCAAAGCCTGCCCCGCAAAGTTTCATTAACATGTGATCCTCTCAGGGATGCGTTCGAACATGCAGGTTCTCGAAATATATTCTGGATTGCGGGCCTGTAGAGTAGAGGGTGGTGTAGCACCCTTCAAATTCTTGAGCGAACCTGGACCCTAGACCCCAAACTCCCAAACCCTAAAGACCTAAAGTTAGAGCATGAACGACCCTGAGTCCCGGCAGTTGCAGCCCGAGTCCAGTATTCGTTTTTTCGCCGCTTACAGCCACTGAAGCCCGAGATTGATGGTTGGCGGCCCAGGGGTGCCTCTTGGGGTTAGCAGCAGTAGGACTAGTTGTAGTGCTAGGCGCTTGTCGTCGTCGTCGCAGTAGCAGGAGGAGCAGGAGGAGGATGAGGAGGAGGAGAAGGAGAAGCGGTAGGGGTAGTGGTAGGGGTAGGGGTGCACTAGTGGTGGTGATAGTTGCAGTGGTGGCACTGGAAGTGGAAGTGGCAGTGGTAGTAGCAGCAGCAGCAGCACTAGTGACAGTGGTGGTGGTAGTGGTAATCTGAACCTCACTGAGTGCAAGAGAGAGCTTTGCACCTTCGTAGCATCAAAGAGCCTAGTGAGACATCGATCCTGGAACCACCCTATCAATTTAGGAGCCCAGGAAGTTTCCAAAGCTGCAGGATTGGGGAGCTTTAGCTTTGAGAGTCGGCCATCAGAAGAAGGGCCGTGAGAGTGTTCCCCTGGCCTGGCCGCCATGAACTATTCTATCAGCAATTGTGTGATCTGAGTCGTGGCTCAGGCAGGGCTGCTGCTTGTTTTGGATGGCCTTGATCCAGGTTAAATTGTTTCGATCCCGAACCCCATAGCCCATAGGGCCCATAGCAAGCACGAGCTGAATCTTAAGATTCGGGCACAACTGTAGTACTTGCAAAGCCAGGTGATACACAGACTTCTGGTTGCCAGGGCGATTATGCATCGATAAATGCCTATGCTGGACTGCGCTGTAAAATCAGTGTTCAAGGTCCTGTGGGTGCGGGTTGGGATTTGTCGTGTTGAGGTGCATGAGTCTTTGGATTGGGTCGAGCATCATAATGTTGTGGGCAACGCCTTGTCAAGACGATGGAGTTCAACAAAGTCCGGCCTGAAGACGCGACTGTCTGGATCACATCGCTCTCATAGCAACGAGTCGGTGCCAACGGCGTTTCGAATTCTCGAAGTTGGCATGCCAGAAGACCGTGTTCCCGACAAGCCCCGCTAGAGTCATGGTTCAATTTGTGCCCCGGTTTGGACGGAGATCTTTCCGGTTGGGTTTTCAGTTTTAAGATTGGGATTTCATCTCCTACTGCTCTGAAGCAAGGTCTTTCTGCTCTTGGTAGCAGCACCGATATCCAACAACCCGCTTGTGCCACGCATGACACACGGCCAAGCTGCAAGGGCCCTGAAGCCCACATCACGCGAAGCCTCCACCCCTAAATCCGAAATCCTGAATCCTAACCCCGACCATGCAAGCACTGCATAAGATTCTCCCAGTGATCTGCCGCCGTTGCCTGGCATCTTCTCGCAGCTTGCTGCATAAAAATCAAAGGAGAGACCCTGTAGTAGCTGATGTGAAACGAGGGTCTACAGGTAGTCTAGCTTCCGTTGGCGCTATGGTTGCAAACTGTTAGCCAGGTATAGCTTCTCTTCAGGAACTGCGGCATTATGCTAGCCATCTGGTGTTGTAGACTTTGTCTGGTGCCTATATCTAGTGAGTATGGAGGTCGAGGCCTTCAATGAAAAGTGGCACAGTAGACGTTCGATGCCACAAGTGACAACTCTAGGTATCCAGAAAACCCGGAATAGTCGAAAGGGAAATTTGTCTCCCCTTTGGATGACGCATGGTTCGACTCCTAAGCTGCAGAAGCCAGTGCGCGCTGGAAGATTCATGGCATGATGCTGCCACTCTTCGTCTCTGTCGCATCTATGTGGGGTTCAGGAGCTTGACTTATCTTAGCATTTTAGCAGGGGTTGCGGAGCCGTGGAGTGGATCCGGGGTGACACCTTGAAAGCTGTCAGCGTCAGACTTCCAGCGCGGCTGCCGGATGTCAGCAGAGGCACCGGCATCAGAGTGCTAAGATCCTCGGCATTCGGGTGGCAGCACGACTGTTTGCGAGGTGCCTGGGCTTGGTGCACTACAATTGTCCGAGTCTATCGGAGACCAGTATTGGGAAGATGCAGCAGCATCTTTTGAGCTCTCAGTTGGCATCCACATGGCCGCATGATCGAGAAGGAGGCTGAGGCGTAGACTTTTGGGCCTTGATCGGCCTATTCAAGAAAGCGCAGGTGATCACCGTCCAGCAAGCATCGACAGCATGACCCATATATTCGCAGTCTTAGGCAAAGCAGAGTACCTATGCATGCCTTGACATACCTTTTCATGGGCACTTTGCCGCAAGTACGGCCTCCACATGACAATTGCCCTATGCAAAGCATGTATGTAGGAGTGTATGTTTCGATGTATCCATAGTATGTAATGTAAGTGTGCATGTATGGCAGAACGATGAATGCTTGTGTGCGTGTGTGTGTGTGTGTGCCGGTGTGCGCATCGACCTGTGCAAGTACTATACAGATACGGGTAAACACGGAATGTCTTAGATGCAGCCTTGCTCCAGGCACCTAAAGAATCTGCAACAGAGCCGCAAGAGGTCGCTCCATCCATTTGCCAAGGGCCTTGCTGCATCCGCTTGAACCTCGCAGCTCTCAGAGTACTTGTAGTAGCGGTGGTAATGAAAAGTAGAGGGAGAAGTAGTTGTTGTAGTAGTGGCAGTAGCAGTAGTTGTAGTTGTCGTCGTTGTCATCGTCGTAGTCGTAGTTGCAGTCGCCTTCGTCGTCGTCGTCGTAGTAGTAGTAGCAGCAGTAGCAGCAGCAGGAGGAGTGGGAGTGGCAGTGGCAGTGGCAGTGGCAGTGGCAGTAGAAGAGCAGTAGCAGCAGGAGCAGCGGCTTGTTTGCCTGGACAATGCGAGGTTCGTGCATGGCAGCTTCTCGCATTGGCACTGCATCGCACGCCAATCCCTGTGACTGTCGGGAAGCGCGGCCCTCCTCGAATTCTGAACCCTCTGCATATCGGACTTGACAGCAGATCTCCCTGCTGTAGGAACCCAGGTTTAGACCGACGTCAGTGGAATTCCCGCATGCCTTGAAGGCAAAGGGACAGAGGTTTGTTTGAGAGAGGGCGCGCCCTCACCCTGGGGCTCACAGATGGAGTGCCCAAGGGCCCTCCGTGCCCCTGTGGGGACGATCGTGTCTCATAGAAATTTGGCTGGTGCCGGCCGATTTGGTTTGCGGTTGGGAGATATCATCCAGAAGCCCAGGTTCTTTTGGTATGACATGCAGTTTGCACTAGAAGGGCTGGCCTCTAGCTGTGGTGAGCGGCACAGTCGGCTCTGCTTGCGCTTCCCAGCCCGACGAGGTGCGACGGGCGGCAGCTTCACTGCTGTCAGATGGGATCACTACTAAGTCACGACTACTACTAGTAGTACTACTGCTATCGCTACTACTACTACTACTACTACGACGACTACTACTACGGTCGCACGACACAGCATCTCTCAAACCCCCATGCAAGCCTACAGGGTGTCAATCGACCATCGACTGTCCTTTCACCCTTCTTTTTGTTTTGGGAAGGTATATAACCGTGGCTCCAGACAGAGCCTGGTAGAATCTGCTTGTTGGGGTTCAGACGCCGGCGTTGCGTACTCCCTCGAAGTGTCATTCCCACCTGCGTGGCATCTGACATGCGATCGTAGATGCACAGTGCGAATCTACGTTGTCTACATCGTGACAGGCAAGTGCAATCTACAGCGTGCCAGAATTTGGAGCAAGGGCCTTAGCGAAACTGCCCGGACGTGTCATGCCCTGCAGTTGCATGCTCGCGTTGGCTCTAGTCCGTAGCTGAACACTGTTTCGATAATTGGTGTCCAGGTGAGCGCACGTAAGGGGCTACATGATGCAGATTGCAGTGGTCCTCGCCGTCACACCGAACCGCACTCCTGATATCGCCTATAACACTATATTTGTTTTGCAAAATCATTATGATGCCTGGGGCTTCAAGTCAGCAGTATCGTTACCTTACCGGCGCCAGCGTTGTAGCTGTACAGAAGATGCGTAGTGGTAGTCGTCGTCGTAGTCGTCAGATTGTCGTCGTGGTGGTGGTGGTAGTGGTGGTAGTAGTAGTAGTAGTAGTTGTTGTTGTTGTAGAGTAGTAGTGGTAGTAGTAGTCGTCGTCGTCGTGGTAGTGCTTGGAGGAGTACTAGGAAGAGTACGAGTAAGACAAGAAATCGGAAGCACAAACTTTCGCCCAGGTTGAAGCAGATGGCTCAGAGAGACTTCATTCGCAGCAGCTGAGCAGGAGACGTTTGAAGAAAGGAGGTGTCACTGAATTCCAAGGTCCGAGCTACGAATCTGCCTTTGTTTCCGTTTAGAAGGGGGGTAAACATGATGCAGTTTGCCGCCGCTGTGGTTGTGGTCGCCGAAATAATGGCGACATTGTCAAGAAGATGAAGATGGTGATGTTGACATGTATGATCACTGCTGCGAAGATGATTATAAAGATGAGGAGGGCACTCCACATAAGTTTTGGATTCTGCGGACCATAGCCCCGTTGGCTATAATATTGTTTCTGTGGCAGTAGTAGTTAGTAGCGGCCGCAGCAGCAGCAGCAGCAGCAGCGGCAGCGGCAGCGGCAGTGGC